CCTTGACCCGACCGCTGTGTTTGAGGACCATGCCTTCAAGCCGTTGTACAAATGCAGGTGCCAGTGGTGACCAAGAGGCCAACGTATCTGCAGCTGTTTGTCGCACAATCGCAGACGAGTCGGCAAGCGCACCTATCGTTGCCTCTACAAACTGACCAACGTTAAACGCAAGCATCTCCTCCGGATGAGGAACAACCTGTGACAAGACCTGAAGGGAGGATGCCCGCACATCTTGCTCATCGTCTCCCAGGTAGGCAAGGCCCTCCAAGGCGATTGTTACGCTGCCACGATATCGCATCTTGGTGACAGCACGCAACGCCGCACGCTTCCGCTTGGTCGAGCCTCGTCCGGGTCTACGGCTCCTCTCCAGATCTTGCATCTCCGGAGACTGAATCGCTTGTGCTTCTGCGGCCAGAACGACACCGCGCAGAAAGTCTGTGGACAAATTCTGAAGCAAACCGCAGTCCGCCCATGTGAGCTGCACAAAAACCTGGCCCACCAGCCCAAGCGTCGGTCCAAGTGCCGTCAATGCCTGCACATCTCTGCGCTCCTCGTCTGTGAAAGTCGGCACAGAAGACTCTGGCACATTTGCAAGGTTGTAAACGTCGGAGGGGCATGTGCATTCCAGTAGCTTCGTAGCTAAAGCCTGTGTAGCAACATCAATTGCTGATGGAACGTCCAAGAAGCAGGCTGCTTGCACAAACTCAGCAGACTCCTGAGAAGGCCACAGCTTCGGCAACTCCTCGCAAAGAACGTACTGACACAAGTCGCTTATACCCGCGGGCGTAAGTCCAGCCGAACTTGGCAAATGCAGGGGGTCTACGTCGCGGGCTTCCGAGAACAGTCCCTCGATGGAAGAAAGCATTCTCGAGGCGTGCACCAGCTCGCGCGGCAGCTGCAAATATGTCTCATTCTGCAGAATGACTGGCACTCCGCCCTGCGTATGCGGCTGATCATTCTGCATCTAAAAGGCAGCAGCATTTCTGCCCACGGCAATGTTTTCCAACGCGGATGAATACCGCATGCTGCATCATCAAGCATTTGTTGAAACAGTTTGTTGGACCAAGGTTTTGGTATCATGCGTGGACATGCAAACCGATTATACAAACCGTATAGTTGAAGTCGCCATGACTTGCGGCTTATGCATATGACTGCCTACTTTCAGATAGCCATGACCCTGGCTTCACAGCTTGGACCACGGGAACGCACAAAGTCGCGTGCACAGAACGCTCTATGTAGCAGAGTTGCTCCCTCATGTTCGTGTTAAGGCCCTTCAGGCCCTTTCGAGGCAACAGGCCAAAAGACTCATGATTACCTGTTGTTTATGTTTGAAAGCATGAATTTCAGGCAAGGTATGGCTTGTGCTGAAATCATGGGCTTCTGCGAAGTTCGGTAGGGAAGTGAGACTGCACTATACTGCACTAAAACCAGCAAGTTTGCGCATCGGTATGCACCCAATCTCTACCAGTACTGCCCGCCATTCTGCTTTCACTCGCTCCTAACACGGGCATTGAGAGCCAATGCTCATGACCATCTGCGCCCTGGGCTGGATGCCGTGAAAGCTTGTCATACAATGCTCTCGCATTCCCGCTTCCCAAGGGTCACCACCCTCTAGGGCTCCTTCGGTGCGAGCCTCATTCCATTCCAAGTGGTTTCTCTGGACTCTTGAGCCTCTTTAGCTGCATGCTAAGGCTGCTAAGCCTCCCCCAAGACCATCTTTACACATGCTGGTGGTTCGGAAGCAACAACAAAAAGCAAAGGCAAGGCCTCTTCCATCGACCTTAAGGAAGCTTGGCGCTCCTGCTGCTGCACCTTTCAAAAAAGTTGAAGCGCATATTGTTCAAAGTTCAGTCCAATGTATGTCTCGATATCAAGTACGTCAGCTTGGGAGATTTGTTGGCAATCGGGCATGCCGACTCGTTGATAGTAATCATAGCACAGGTACGAAAAGAAATCACAGTCATAGTCAGTGCAACTCAGGGTCGTCAAATAACGGTCGTACCGGTGAAAGCAGTGTTTGGTAAAGTCACAGTAATAACCAGACATTAGTAGGACTTATCCAAGTAAGATACTAAACCATGCAGATTTCCGAAAGTAGTCACAGAACCACAAGCCACCAGCCCAGACCATTCGGCATGAAAGGAGATGTTGGCTGAGCAACCGTAATCACTAAACAGCTAATCACTAAACAGCTATGCGCTAGCCGCTAGACACTTACTACTGTTGGCTGACGAAAGCCACGCCCCCCAAACAACGAGGTTGGCTGGCAAAACTCTGAGCCCTGAAGGGCGATGTCGGCTGCCCAACATGATCCAGAACGATGCCCGAAAGGAAACAACATCGTTGGCCACCTAACATAAGGAATTTTCTGGCAAGACGGAAGAAACTGAAGCAGGATGCTGGGTGACAGATACACCATGAGCACTAACAAATTGCTGGCAAACCCTAGACGCCACACCGATCCCCGCAGAAGATGTTGGTTGGCGCCTTGCTTCCAAAAAATCTCGCAAGCCATGCAAGCGGCACTTGCTTTGGCATTAGTAACGAGAAGAAGGACTATAATCAGCAAGTGCGAAACTACGGGTGATCGACAACATACTTGGTGAGTTCTCAAGGTGAGGGCCTACACAGACGCTTACCCTCCCAACAGGGAATGACAACGAAAGACCTCGGCACCTTGCGCAAACATGCGACAGACGACCCCAAGTAGCAAGAAGACTCCTAACTTCCTAACTTCCAAAAGAATGGAGCGGGTGCAGATTAGGGGCCTCGGCACGCAACTGGACACATTCTGCTGTCCTCCCAAGTTTGCCAATGTTACCATGTTACCATGAAGCATTGCAGCGTGCGGATCAGAGCTTCAAACAGCAATTTAGACGGACATCGCAATCTCCACATCTCCTTGCATCCAACTCGTTCTTCAGGTTTGTGGCCCGGGAGGTTGCCTGAAAGTCTACACACCGGGGTCGATCATCAGCATCCGGCTTGGACTGCGAATGAGCTGATGAATTGCGGAGACACCCGTTCAGCCTGTTCGAGACTTGTCTGTAGCCTCCTGCCGTCATGCGGAACACCACATCCAGCGACTGCCAGTTGAGTCGACAAGACATCGCTTCAGCTCTCCTGAGTTCTTCGTGTTGACCGAGCGTGTCGCCGATCTTGTCCTCACAGGTTCTGGAGCCACAATGATACCATCCCATGTTGCTGTTGGCAGCCACACAACTCTGCTTGTCGTTGGCGCTCTGATGTGTCACAAAACAACGTACTTACCAGTTGCCAGTACTCTACCGTCGTTGCGCACGAACTCCCCGGACGTTTATAAGGGAATCGAACCCTATAACTCTGGCATACCTGGAGCAAAGATGGGAGATGGAGTGTGCCTGCAGCCGCTTGCACTCGCCCTCCCGCGCCGTCAGCTCTCCCTGGCAGTGCACTCAGGTGCTGCGCTTGGCAGCGTGAGAACATGCGTGAACATGTGACGTCCTGGCACAACCTGCGCCCAGCCTTCGAGGCCATAAGCTCTTGCTGTATTCTAGCAAGCTCTTCCTGCCATGGTTGACCCCCCAAAAACAAGCAAACAAACACGGTTACATAAACACACGGTGTGCTTTGTGTTGTCGGCCTGGGCCTGAGCACGTAATTCGCTTTGCAACCGGGCTTGGTCCTGCACAGGGTTGGAGCAAGACATGGCAGCAAAAGCAGCCGACATGAGAACTGAACACTGCAAGCGCTTTTTGTGGAACCATGTCATCCGCATCTTGGCGGCTAAAAGAGCCGAATGCTGCCATTGGTCAAGAGACTCTAAAAAGGAAACTTGCTTTTAAAACCACTGGACCGCTAAAAGTTGAGGGCCGTCTCGCTCCCACATGCTCCTGATGACCCTGCACCGTTTGGTTTGGTTTGGGAGTCAGACACGACCCTCGCCATATCTCGGCACCGAAGAAGAAATTGCAAGGGCTTCACAGCATGCCTCGGCGAAGATTTCTCGATTGCGCCACCACACAAAATATCGAACTCTACTGGTACCCGCATGTACCCGCCATCAAGATAGACTCGCCAAGTTTCTTCCAGCTCATGCAAGGCTGTTGGAGGCCGCATAGTCGATCCCTGACTGAATCTCCTGCACCGTGCAGATCTTCTGACAACTATGAGATCTGATCAGCCTTCCATAGCCTTCCTGTAGCCGAAAGGTTCGCCCGAGAGGGCATCAGAGGAGGGTGATGACCAGAAGATGCGGGAAACCGAAAGATGGGAACACATCAGAACTCACATCAGAACTCACATGTGCCAATGATTCTTAGGCCTTCTTCAAGGCAGCCTTGGCTTCCGCCAGGCGCTGCTCCTGTGCCACTGTGTGAAGTTGCTTGTCATGTCTGCGCACATGCCTCCCCTTGACTTCATAACGTTCCACACGTACCAAGCATACTGAACAAGCTTCAAAGGAGCCCCGCCTCATACTGGTTTAGCTTGCCAATCGGGTGCACCTTAGGGCAAGCAAGGCAAGGCAAGGCAAAGCCAGGAAATGCGGGTGCTCAACGGCACCTTCTCCACTCCTGTCTTGCCAAAGGTGACCTTCCAGGACTGGGGTGAGGTGATGTGAGGTGCTGGCTAATTCAGGCTTTCAGGTGCTCACGGCTACTTAGAGACGCACATGCAAGCTAGCGCACAGGATGATTTGAATGCCCATGTCGTGGCAAGCACCGAGGGGAAGAGAGGTTAAAGTGGGGAAGGTTTCGGAGCCACTAAGTCACTGAAGCCCTCGAATGCACAATATTGAACTCCTGCTTTGCGAGGTTTGAAAGGGCGCACGTTAATGCGGACACCTGCAGACCATTCTCGTGCCGGGAAACTCTCGTTGTTTGTCATTGTCGGGTGGTGGGCAGGGGTTGGCAGAAAATGTTCGATTCATCCCCGCTCACTCCCGCCGCTCCCCTATCCGCCCTACCCTGGATTTCAGCCAGTGAGCTACTCACGCCCTGATGCAGCTTAAGTGAAAGTGCTCATCGCCTTGCCTTGCTGGTGAAGTATGGGCAACCTGGTTCCACGTCGGACATGACCTAGGCAACTTCTCGGTAGTGAAAATCAAAAACCGTTTCAGTTCAGACCAGCTGAGCAGGCTACATAGGCGCATTCCGTGGTCGGAGTGCCCGCCATCCCAGCTAAGACTGCCTTTCCCAGCCTGTCTCAGATCGGCATGGTTTTGGTAAAGGTACAAACTGGCAAAGGCTGATCCCGCCTGGCTCCGGCATAGGCCATCGAGAGCGTGGCACTTCCCTTGCCGTTCTTGGCGTTTACGACATCCGTTCCTGCATCCTCTGGACCCGCAGAGTCTTAAGGCATGCGTTAGGGATAAGGAAGGCAGTCAGTAATATTCATTTTGGAGTCCTGCACGTGCTTGTCGAGGGCAGGAATTTCAGACTGAGCAATCTTCGCAGCATGCTTATCCTGTCGATGTCTTCTCTGCTCCGATGGTCTTGACGGAAGCAGATGGAAGCAGATGGAAGCGGCAGAACTGCAGAACCCAGAGAGCTGAAGAAGGCCTGCGAGAAGACGGGCATAATCGTGACCTGTGGCAGACGAGTTCGGGGATGCCCTCACACTAAGCCACAAGCTTCATTGGGGCCGCTACGCCTGCATGTCCACCAATCACTGGCACCTTCGCTGAAGGTTGGCATTGGGTGATGGCTTTTTTTGGTTAATTTACAAGCTCTTACATTCTGCGACACAGGCCCAAGGGTGCCACCTCGATGTTCTTAGGGTCCTCGCCCGTGAGTTCTGCCACAAACTTGTTGGCTCGTACGCCATCCAGTGTGGTGACCTTGGCACTCGACACCGCGTTGCATGTTCTCAGAAGTCCACTCAGACATGCCACAACCATGCTCTAAGGTTCTCACGCCCACAATTTTCTTCGGATCCAGACCTTTCTTCTTGTATAGCTCGGCCATTGCTGGGACCACCTTGCAGACTTTTCTGAAATCTCTCTGTGGTGCTGTGGACACCTTGAGCTATGCACAAATATGCAAGAAGCATCAAGTAGACTGATGTCAAGTTGCTGAGTTGACAGGGTTGACGATCAGCGCGATCACCTGCACAATCACAAGCACCAGAGTCTAAGCAGGCTGCTCGGATTTCATTGACAATGAGTAGCAACTTCATCACCTCATCATGGTGCCACTTGGGTGAGCCACTTGATGTTCACGCGTTTTTTTTGGGAGCAAGCAAAGCCTTCCCGAAGATGCTTGAGAAACATTGCGAAACATCGTTTTCTCATTGTGTACTTGGGCCGTGGGCCCATGGGCGTGTCCTTCACCGGCCTATGGCGGTCCTATGATGCGTCGCCCGCCCCATGAAACCAAGGAGCTTTTACCCCTGCTGAATGGCGTTTTGACTACGAGCCATTCGCTCTCATGGAGGTCGACACAGTGGCTTCTAGCAACTCTTCGTCTTCCCGCATCGGCGCGTTTCAGGGATGAAGGATGGGAGCAGCTTTGGGTAGAAGAGGTGGCGTCGGCGTTGCTGTTTCCAGCTCCAGTCAATCGCTGCTGCTTGCGGCGAAAGTCTTGCGGAGCCCCTGCTTCTACAGCACATCCCGCTATCTTTGTCATTTCGTCTAGGCAGACGTGAACAGAGCCCCGTGCGTGCACAAAATCACAAGCATATCTGAACAGTCCAAACACATTTGAAGGTCCAAGGCCCCACCGCATCGGGGCAGTACTTGGCACAGGCTTCCACCACCTGAGTCGCAAAATTATCTTCACTTGGCCACAAAGTGTTGCCGAATCCGGCCTCCTTGGCGATGCCTGCATTGATCTTGAAGAGGTCGTCGCGCGTCTGACCAGGCTTCCTGGTATGAATCTTGCGAGCGCTGTCTGTAGGCGTGTGCATGTTCAACCATTTCCGTTGAAGCAGTAGAGGTGGCTTCACACATCTTCCCGCTGGAGCCGGCTTTCGTGCAGTTTCTTAAAGCAAGAACGGCAAAGCGACTTCGGTGCAAAGCGATTGCAAAGCCTCAAAACTGTAGAGGTTAGCTTTACAATCTTGCCCTCCCGGCTGATTTAAGACTCTAAGAATCACCAGCCGGCAAGGCCGCACACAGGACTTGAAAAGACACACGTCTTTCGGTTCAACGCTACTTTAGTTCGGTTCCTCATGTGAACTTCGAGAGATTTCGGCAGTGCAAGGTCTTGGGATGAGGGCGCCAGTCCAACTCCTTCCAGCCCACCTATGCAATCTTGAACACGACGTGTTGAAAACGGTTTTAGTTGCACAGAGCAATTTGCGAGTGCCTCCTCTTTGTCTGAACATGGGACAAACACAACCTGACGCGAAAACCTTAAACAATGATAATGGGGTTCTGGGCACTCTTCTGTTCCAGCCCCAGCGAAGGACTCCATTAAACAGGTTGACTTTTGGGGGTGAGTTGCTCACTCGTCCTCCCTTCTCATTATCTCACGGTGGAATGTATACTTACTTAGCTGACCGTGAGTATGTTCGATGAACTTAATCACAAGCGCGATGGAAGGCTTAACTACGACTTGTGCTGCACGTCCTTGGCAAGCCAGCAGGAACCAAGACCAGGTTGCAGCCTTTGAGGCAGTCGCCGAGGACATCGATGGCCTCACGCCGTGTGCCATGTGCAATGCAAACAGTTTTTTTTAGTGGTTGAGTAGTTGAGTGGTTTAGTGATTTTACTAGTTTAGAAATCCTGTGCAGTATCGGACAGTCAACCTGGCCTTCTCCTCTTTGCTCTTGACGTAACCCTTCACCTGACAACTTATTCCAACGCCACTTCGACACTTCACACAACTCGCAAAATTGAAATCATCGCTATGGTGCCTGAACCTTCTTCTCCAAGTGGTTCAAATCTGCAGCTACCTGATTAGGCGGATGCAAAAGGATGACCCTGTTACGACCTAAACAGCCGGATCGGTGTGATTTCTTCCGTCTGTGTTCTCTGTCGTGTTGGCGTCAACTTGTTCATGTCACTCTGAACAAGCAGATGTTCGACGCGTCGAAAGAAAGACAGCGACATGATCATTCACACGTGACGGAAGCCAGGCAAGAACGATGACACACCATGACATGCAAGCATTTCTATTCAGCTCTGAATTCGAATACTGAGTGTAAAAGCACTGGCAAACGCGATACTGGCTTTGCTATTGTTCGTTTCTCCTTTCGCATTTGAACTTCGTTCTTCACTGAAGTCCTGCGGTTCCCTGTATTTCAACTGGATAAAGAACGATGAACTGAAGAGAGAATGCAGTCTTGAAGGAGCTGATTTGAAGCGTGTTGTCTTTGGGGTTTTTCGTTCACACACCTCCTGAAAACCTTTGAAACTAGACCGCTTCGACTTGGAAACGGCTGTCGACAGGGTCATCAGCATCAGGTTCTGCAGCTATATCAGTGTTATGCCTTGATTTGGAGGTCAACTATTCCATCTAAGCTCAGAGCACCTTAACATCGGTCGCTAACCTTTTCTCAACAAGGAACTCAAATCATTCCCTGCCACTGCCCGAACCCCATATAACGATCAAACCCACCATCGACTGACGTCGAGAGTCGGCGGTGCTTCCCAGGCAAAAACAAAAAGAAACAAAAAGACAGAAGGGTGTCGGCAGCCTTGAAAAACTCGTTTCGGCGCGTCAGAACGAAAACTCACAGCCGCTATACAATGCACGTATTCAGAAATGCATAAATGATTAGTGCGCATTGGGTGCACTTAGCGACTCAAGGATGAAGCTGTTCCTTCAAACTAAGACCCGTGCGCCACCTGGTGGCACCATGGCGAAATCAAGATCCTTGCACTCCAAAGTTCGTGCATCTGTCAGAGGTTTCTTGCTTTCTGCAGACTGTGCGGCGCTCAGCCTCCCACATACACGGACAGCTCACCTGCTCTGGAAAGGTATGGATGCTACTGTAGGAGACATGTGAGCCAAGCTGCACAGCATGGTGCTCCAACAGCTTACTTTACTTCGACCTACATTGTCGTCCATCGCCATCAGCAGTGAAAGCGGCTGGCCGATGCCACCACTGCCACCGCAAACACATACCTTGAACCAAGAACGACAATAGCCACAGAATTTGCGTTCAGGGGAGCATAGGCCTGCTTTAGCCTGCTCTCAAGAAACTACCTCTGCGCGCAGCCTTGAAATTGCCTTGGGCAGCGCCGGCAGAGAAGCAGCGGCTGGTCGGCGGCCGACGATCCTGCGCAACACAACGCATTTCCACTTTTCGACTGCTAGAAAATGCTAGAAACATGAATGCCCTAAACTGCAATCCCGACGTGTCCCAGCTCTAGTCATCTCCAATCTTTAGTGGGATCCAAAATCCTGATTCGCCACGAAGAATACAGAGGCTCCCAGGATGCCAGCTGCCCATGCTTTGTGATAAGCCGTGCCTGACGGTTGTGACCATAACTGCTAGTGCTCATCTGCTACGACCTTCTGTATGTTTCTCAACATTTCGCAACCATTCAAAGTGCCGAGATGCATGGCACTTCACATTATCGTGTTAATACGTGTTGATTTCAGTGGCCTGGCCTTCCCGCATGGGTGGCACAAAGGTCGAGCAGGCACGCCTGTCTTTTTAGACGTGATTTTTACGTTATGAGGGCACGGACGACTGCAGAAAGCATCCGCCTTGAGAGGGGAAGCAAGCTCCGAGTCGCCACACGCCTGAACCTGCGTGCAGATATTGCCGTAAAATACGTTACGGTAACGTTAAGCTCAATGAGATTCCGAACGGCCGTTTCGTCAGGCTGCGGCATCTTTGGCGAGCGTTGCACACCAATGTGGCTGGAGATCTTGGGCCAAAGTGTCTGCATAGGCTGGCAATGTCTGAGCACGCACCTGCGACTGGCTAGAAGTTAAATGTGGTTTCAATCTTGTATGCATGGACAGGCAGCGCGCACGTCCTCCTGGGCCTTGACAGCTTGCTTCTCCAGCTGCGCCTTGGACATGCCACGCCGAGCCGTTCACAGTCAGCCGCCAGTTCTGCTTCTGCTTGATCGGAATGTGACCGCACCTGCAGCTGCTCCAGCTTGTTCGACTGTGAGGCCAGCTCGGCCTGCGAGAAGTCGCTGCAGAGATGCAGAGCTCAGCTGGTCTGCTTTCATAGCACTGCTGCAGCTTGGGGAAGGGTGCTCGCGTCATCACAGGACCCGCCTGGAGCCGCGAAACCTCGCTGGTTGCCGATGCTGCCTGGATCAGGTCAGAAGGTTCCAAAGGTTCCAAAGCTGTCCAGGTCACCCGAAGCTCGTGCACCTCGGCCTTGCTGGTGCCGCACAAGCTGCGCTCTTCAGCCAACTCTGCCTGCAAAGCAGTATCTTTGTTCAGGTACGGTACCCGTCAATTCTTCGTTCGGCTGCAGTGTCCTTCAGATTGGCGAGCTCTTCATTGAGACGCTGGGCGTCCGCTGCAGCTTGCGACGAGAACCTTTCAGGCTCTGCCAAGCAGTCGATCGTACAGTGGTGTCATGTTGCTTCATTTTTCTTCCATCACCCGCGCAGGTGGTTTGACGTCGAAAGGGAGGGATGGTGGTGACGGCCAGGCACGTGAAACCGCCTGAAGTGGGGTGGCATTCCGATATATCTTCGCGAGGCAGCAGCACCGGTAGCCGTGCGTTGGAGGATCAATGGAGGAGTTCAAAAACGAACTAGGAACGATAACTCGATGACACTTCGTGGACACTTCGTTGACAAATCGTTGGCACATGTTGGAAATTTCATGCAACTAAGCACTCGCACAGACGGCAAGGAACTGGTGCCCGGGCCAAAAACTTTCCAAAAAGGCTTGCTGGATCTTCATGGGGGGGGGGGGGGGGGGGGCCGTGACCTTTAAGAAGAATAAGCGTGAAATGAGCCCTAGAGTCCCAACAAGATCCCAACAAGTGTCCTAACCACATCAACCGCAGTGAGTTGTTGGTTGCCCTTTGTGCATGTTTGTGCATGTCAGTTGCCCTCGTGCCGGCACCTATACTGTGTTTCGACATAACATTCTCACGAAACTCAAAGCCAATCGGGGCTCCTCAGGGGTCGCACTTTTTGTCAGTAAGGCATGGGCAGACTCTACACAATGAGTTGCAAGGAACATGCCCTGCGGCCCCAAGCCAGTGGCGTCGGGGAGCAATTGCCCTTCCCTAGTCATGCCTGTTCGGTATCCCTAGGGACCCGCTAGGTACCGTCTGGGACGGTGAGGGATTCCGTGGGGGTTCCAGCATTGTTTCGAATCCTTCATACAATTCGGTATCAGGATGAAAGCAAGAATGTATGCTTGCAACCGCTTCTCCGAAGAAGCGTCTTCTCATCCATGCTCTGCGATGGAGCCGAGATGACGCGTGTGAGCCGAGACAACCGATGACGATTGGCTGCGACTATGCTTAGATAGTGCAAGAACACCATGAGTACTACGAGTACTACGAGTACCTATTGGTCTCGAAACCGATGCTGTGACGTGCTGTGACGTGTGCGAATTCTGGAAACTGTCGGGCCAGGCTGGGCCTCTTCTTCTCCTCCTCGAAAGCATCTTTCGCCTGCTTCAGCCTTTGCTGTCAGAGTCTGAGAAAGTCTTGCTGCTGCAATGAAGCAAGAAAAACATTGCTTCGCTAGGATGCAGACTCTGCTTCATGCACAGAAGCCTTTTCCAAAATCACAGGGTGACTAGCCAATGTAAGCCAGCATCACTCCGAATCAGTGCAACATGCCCTTCCCCCACCTGCGATTCGACAAAACAACTATTTTTAGCAAACTGCCGCTACAGTATGCAAAATGTCGCGGATCCCTATCGGCGCATCAAGACGTCCACAAACTGAGCTCTCAATACGTGCTTCTGCAATACTTAGATTCGATCACAACAAAACTTCGTAAGTTCCGCCCTAACATGTCTTAAGATCACAATCACACCGTCGTGCCAATCCAGGATTGTTTCGAAAACGGCAGGGCCCGCCTTGCGCGCTTCTGCAAGCTCTTCTGTCCTACCGTGTAGTCTCTGGGCTTGGTGGCTCTGCACAAGATCATTGCCGCTGCTGCTGTATATCAGCCAAATCAAGTCCAGTAGGAGGTCCTCAAGTCCAATTCTCGACGGAGCTCGTCCAGTTGTGCTCGGTTGCCTGATGCCTTCAGTGTTGCAGAGTAAGCTCAGGTCCCCCAAGACAAAGAGTCAGCGATGCCCGCCTTTGCCAGGTCGGACTGGGTTTCACAAAGCTCGGCTTGCAACTTTGTCTTGGCCTTCGCACTGTCTTGCAAATGTAACATAGGTCATTTTTAGCTTCTTCTTTTCGCGCGCCTCCACCTCGCTCATCAGAGAAGCCTGCCGCAGAAAGTGAACTTGAGAATCAGGGCCAGCGGAAGAGAAGTGGTCACGTATGCCAGGCAATGCAGTCAGGTTAGCTGTCCGAACCTTCCAGACACCTGCTTGTACTGTATTGTATTTAAATTTAGGACCCAAAACGCAATCCTAGGCCAAGCGTACACACGAAAGCCCAATGCTGGCGAAGACACCACATGGAACGTCGATAATGATACACCATGGCACCCAAGACATCAGCTGTACATGAATGCTCGAGTTTGTGCAGCTCGGTACACGAATTCTGTGGCATCCGGACACAATTGACCCTACCAAGCTGTCTGAAAGAAGCTGCGCCTCGACGGAAGCCACTTTCGTCTTCAGCACCGCGACTTCCTGGCATAGTGACTCAGAGTCCTTCGAAGCTGTGGTAATCCGTGGTGGAGACATGGGGGTTTTCGATAGCAGGGGCACCTTAATGGGGTCCTGTTCATAAGGGGGATCCTACGGGGTCCCCCTGTTTTCGTGTAACCTCTCCCACCATGAGACTGTGAGTCGAGGCCTCCTCCTTGCGGCATACGGCTTCCTGAAAGACTCAGTGCGTTCAGATGCGTGTTATCCGGCTCCGGCCTTAAGGGCTGCAACCTAAACTTTAAAACCCTAAACCCTAAACCCTGGCTTCGGGGCTTATGGCCGAGGTTTAGAGGGTTTAGGGTTTAACACGCAAGGAACAACCCTGACTTTATCGAGCTGGCCTGAAGTTCTCGCTCCGCGTCCGAACTGCTCAAGTCCTCGTTTGCACCATCTTGGCTGGATGCAGCGGATTCGAATTCCAAAGGCACGCGCACAATACCAGGAACATTTTCGAACCCAAAGTACCCAACTGATTCACTCAGAAGAGCGATGAAGCAAACAAATTGTCATTCAAGGCTAATCACGCAACATGCCTTGCCGAAACGCACTTGATCTCACTTGTCACTGGATGGTCCTTGACTTTCTGTTCGAGCGCTGCCCTTTCTGTCTCCTTGGCCTGATCTTGACATGGCTAGACTCAAGGTGAGAACAACTTCTCCCAGCCTCTAGGTCCTGCATGAGCTCCTGGATCCTTGCCTACAGAGAGGGCAGAGAGGGCAACTTCTCGAGTTTTTCGAGACGAAAGGGGGGGCGCCTTCGCCTCGTCATTGTCCTGGGCCAAGTCTTTGAGCCGCTGCCTCCGTCGTACGATCGCTCGCACGATCACAGGGCGAACGTGCAGGCTCCCAGGCTCAAGGATCTCAGGAACACGAGATGATGCTCCGAGTACTGGGCATCTCTTCCTCCCACTTTGCCAACCGCCCTGAAGCTGACGCAGCACTTGCCTGCGCAGGGCTCTGTGCAGGGTGCTGTGTTGGGTGTGGCTGGAGCCTCCCTGGCCGATGGAATCCCAGCCTTGATCTGCTCAATCTCCACGTTCTTGCTTTCGAGTTGAGCCTTCCGGTTCCCGGGAACCGCAGCGTCGGGGCTGAAGCATGTTTTCCTCTAAGGGACCCCAAAGTTCAAGGGTAAGGTGAGGGTACAAGGAGAGGGTTTTATGGTGCTGTCCGCACTGTGCACGCGCGATTCGAGGCCAACATCGCGCTCTGATCTCGTCGAGGGCTTGCCCACGTGATTGCAAGATGCAGCGGGCCGCCCAAGTCCCACCCAAGTCTTTCCCCGAAATAAAGCTTCGCACATATAATGTCCACTGTGAACTAAGCGTATCCCCGATAACGCAAGTCCTGCCCATGGGTCTTTTGTGCGGGTTTCTTTACTCTTCCACGTGCGCCAAAAAGATGCCAAACACCATGTAAAAGGCAGTGAAACGCTGCATCTACGACATCTTGAGCTTCAAGAGATGCAAGTACCGAGCGTGCCTCTCACACATGAGATTCACATCTTTGAGCTCCCACGACCGAGATTTACGTGCTGAGCGTTGATCTTCGAGCCTCTCTCACGCCCGAAAAACCAAGTATGTGCAACTGTTGTCGATTCGTGGTCTCCGACCGCGCTCTCGCCACAGTCCCGCATGCCCGCTTTGGCTTCGGAATCGTGCTCCCACCTACTTCCCGGCACGCTTTCCAAATGTGGTTCTATGCGCATGTCGTCATTTGAGGGCCTTCAACCGTGTTCCTGTGATTGATGCTTGCGATGTGCTGTCCTCGTGGTCTTACAGTTCGAGTTCGAACATGCATGTGACCACAAGGCTGCAAATTCGGCTGATTTTATTTGGTGTGTGTGTGTGTGTGTGTTCGAGAGAAAGCAAGAGCGAGAGAGAGAGAGAGAGAGAGAGAGTGTGTGTGTTTGATTGTGTGTTTGATTGTGTCTGCATGCGTGTTTGCACGCGTGCGCTTGTCGCCACTGACCTGAACAAAGAATCGAAAGAACCCATGCACCCCCGCCACTACTCCATCTGATGGTCGCCGGCCTTCAAGCTTGAGACTTCTTTGGCGTCACTTGTTGCGCTGGTGCGAGTGTGTGAAGCCTTGCGTGGTGCTGGAGCGACGTGTCGTGGGACCATGGATGGAAGCATCAGGACATATGTCCGGATCCCAGCGATCCCAGGGCTCCGACCTCTTTGCGGATTTCTTTCATGTCCTGATGTGCAAGCTGCAAGGGTGAACAATCTCAGCAAGTCAGCTGAGCCCCCGCCTCCTCAAGCCTGCGCACACGCTCCTCGTAGGCCTCATACTCTGGTCGTGGACGGCACGTCAATGAGATGCGAAACGGATGCGAACCAAGGTCTTATCGGTCCTATCGGGGCACAGGCCGAGCATTTCCTTGCGAGACTCGCCGCCTCGGACCGCAAGCGCGTAGCTTCGGCCTGTGCAAGCTTTGGCCACTCAGAATCAAAGCAGTTACCTACATACATACATACATACATACCTACCGACACACCTACATACATACATACATACCTACCTACTACTACTGCTACTGCTACAGCAGCAACAACAACAACTACTACTACCGCCACCACCACCACCACCACCACCACCACCACCACCACCACCACCACGGCCTTACCCGACCAGGTACCACACCACCAGGTTCCACCACCACCACCACCACCACCACCACCACCACGATCACCACGATCACCACGATCACCACGACCACCACCAGCACCAGCACCAGCACCAGCACCAGCACCAGCACCAGCACCAGCACGACCAGCACCAGCACGACCAGCACCAGCACGACCACCACCAGCACGACCACCAGCACCAGCACGACCACCACCACCACCACGACCACCACCACCACCACCACCACCACCACCACCACCACCACCACCACCACCACGACCACCAGCACCAGCACCAGCACCAGCACGACCACCACCACCACCACCACCACCACGACCACCACCACCACCACCACCACCACCACGACCACGACCACGACCACGACCACCAGCACCAGCACCAGCACGAGCACCAGCACCACCACGACCACCACCACCACGACCACCACCACCACCACCACCACCACCACATGGAAAAGGTGCCGTTTTGCACTATGCATGCCGAACCACCTGTCACTGTATATGCATCTGCATTTTACAGACCACAGCGATCGGTCAAAAGTCTCGAGCGGTCCGTGCTTTCAGTCTGAAGATGCTGGTACATGTCCGGAAGGCAGCCTGTGATTCTCCGAGCTTCTTTTGCAGCTCCTCCTGACCGCAGAGTGCCACAGCAGATTTGGGCTGCTTAGAAGCTCTTGTGCAATTGCCACACGCGAATCTTAAAGACTCAAAGCGCTGCTTGAATATGTTTCGGTGGATTTCAGTACTCTACCAGGCACAACCATCTGGAAAGCCCACTCAAAACCTTCGCCGATCAGGCAATCGTTGTTGTGGTCACCAAGCGTTGTTTCGATTTTGACGAGTCGATGCTTTCGGCTTTGAGCTGGCTTGGTACCTGTGGTCAAGCTGCTTACGCTTGGCTCTTGTGAGGGCACTTTGAGTGTTGGGGATCAGGCCAAAATCTAAATCTCTTTGCAGCACGATACTCAGTGTACTGTATAATCGGTTGTTCTTCCTTCTCCAGGCATGGACCTCGCAGAGTATCTTAACTTACATACATAGACACACATGCAAACACACTCTCTATCTGTCCACTGTGCACGATGCATGCTGCAATTGCGCCAGACCTGATCTGCGCAGCCTTCTCCGACAACTTGCATTTCCGATGTTGCAATGTGCATGTGATATGCTGCGACGATCCTCTGACTTTGCTGCTGCTCCCACTTCTTCTTTCATCTTCCCCTTCTTCATGGTCAGCTCCTCAACATGGTAGGTGATGTGTTGCTCCACATTGTCACCAATTGCAGCATGCCGGGATTCTCTCACTCCTGCTGCAATCGGGCCTGGCATGTCAGGCCGTAAACTGGAAACTGAGTGCCACAACAAGCCACACCACAATTTCATTTCAGCGCCTGAGGAAATGTTTGCCAGGTAACCAGGCAACTGCTTGCAACCGAGATGCGCGCTCTTCACGCACCTGTTTCTCATGCTTCTCCTTCTGTCGACAATGGGCTTCCAATGAAACATACGTTCATGGTCAGCGGATGTCAGCTGTTTTGACGGTTAGACACTCTTCGGATTGCTTCGCCTGAAGCTCGCTGAAGGTGTGGTCTCGCTCCTCTGACATTGACATCAAAAGGGAGTTCCTTAAATCTTTAGGTATCTTGGGGTTGCGGCGAGCTCGAATTCTGCTTGTAGCTCTCGCCGATGCCTGAGCCAACCCATTCTTGAACAACGGCGACAAAGTGACAGAATGACAGACTGCAAATAAACCTGTATGCGAAGCAATCAGTCACAGAGCCCGGCTTTGCCAACTTTGCCTTGTGCTCTGCCTGCATGCTTCGTGAACCTTTACTTAGTGTGACACCGCGAGGGCCTGCCTTTTTAGATTTGAATGCTGCGTTTTCAGTGATTCTACATGAGATCTCACTTATGTTGAAGCGCTGAGCCGTGCTCCACCATTAGTACATTCTCGGAGTTCTGAGGGGCTTCTGCGATTTGGGCAGGGGATTTTCAGGGCCGCGCTGAATCGCGCTGACTGCTTGGTGAATGGACGACGTGGTCTCATCATCGCAGCGAGGACTAGTGGCCAAGGCAGGCCAAGGCCTGCAAGGCCGCTATGTTCTTCTGGTGGAGCTCCTCGAGCCTTCAACGCCCACATGCTGCTGCATTCCGTGCCCCTGTAGACGCAGCTGAGGAGGCCTGGCTTTCTCCTGTTCCAGCCGTTCCTGGCCTCGGAAAAAAATTGAAAAAAACATGGTGGATACCGTAGCCATGGCGAGTGACTCCCGTGCAGCTTGTGGGAAGCAGGCCAGCATCCATCCTGGCCTGGAGGGGTGATGAGCGACAAGATGCTGCAAACATCAGTTGAATTCAGCCAAGTGAATCTGAAGAAATATCTGAGGCCCATGAGGACTCTGCCATGGAGTCGTTCACCTCTGGCCTGGTTTGCGGATGGATCGCGGAAGCTTTCCAAAGATATTCCAATATGCAGAAATCGGGGCTATCGGGGGGGGCGGGGGCCAAACGTGATAGTCTTAGACTGCATCATCTCATTGTCTGCCGATGTCTGCCGGGCTGCGGGTTTCCACTTGGAGGCGGTGGGGCGCCAGAGGCAGGCCGTGGCCTCAAAACGGACAAAACAAATGCGGGAAATTCCAGCCGGCAGGATGCGAGAAGCGGAGCGGGATGTCGTGAGCTGTCGTGCACTGTCGCGTATGCTGGGTGAGCGACGGCCCATCGAGAGATTTGGGACCGTTCAAGATCTCGCAATTTGCCAGTGCAGTGCTTCTGCACCATTCCATTCGCAAGTCAAAGCCTGCCTTGGAATCGTCGGGGCTGTCTTGCCTGTCCTGAAAGATGAGGTCTGGAACATTGCGGACACTGCGGGAGCGGTGACCTAGCCCCAGTATCCCAGTAGTAGCCCATTGTCCCCCAGCCTCTTCACTGAAAGACTGAGAGGGGGCCCTGTGCCAGGACATGTCAGGACGTATCCGGCCCTCGAACACTGATGCCGGCTGCCTTGAGGAGTCGGTGGATGGAGGAGCTTCCTGAACACGCACCAACGTCAGAGTCTTGCAAGTGCTGCTTTGCTCCCTTGTGCCTCCACCGGTTGAGTCAACCCCTCGTCGAGCCTGCCTCTGGGCACATGCCGCAGTTTGCAGAGTTCAAATCTGCAGTTCTGCCGGGCAGCTACCGCGAGTAGGGCAACGACCCTCCCGGGGAGTAACACCTCGTGCGTTCAGAGGTGCCAAGGTCTTGGGCGCCTCCGGCGAGCATGGCGAGCACGAGCAGCACGAGCAGAACTGCACGTCGATTAAACGACGAAAGAATTCTGACTACAATCCATGCTCATCATTGCTGACCTGACTATAGATTGCTGTGTTTTTCGTCTGCCAACTGCAAGCAATTGCTGGCCTCGAGCCTCACCTCGTCTTTCTCCTGCTTTTCTTTCTTGGCCTTCTTTTCTTTCTTGTCCTCTCAACAACTTTCCGCTTCCTTGAGCACTGAACAAACGCATGCGCACCAGATGAGCTATGCAGCCGTGCGCCTTCTTCTTTTTCTTTTTGTCGGGGTCGCCTCGGGTTTCCAGGAGTTCCCGGGACGGCCCGAGCAATGCCTAGCAGTATGTCAACTGGATGACAGCTCTCTCGCAACTCCCTGGACGTCTGCCTCCACTCAAACTCATCACACCACCTCGCGTGGACAGTACATGTAATATGCATAAACATCACAAACTGACGTCAAGGGCTCCGACTTGCACTGGCGCTCCTGTCCATGCTACCACTGTCGTCAAGAAGGTCACCTCATGCACTCAATTGCTATCGTTCAAGCTTCATCCAGGCGGACATCCACGCCACCGTTTGCTCCAAACGGTATTCTTCTTATTCGAACTTTAAATAGATACTGGTCACATAAATTCGGGGCATGAGCGCACGATCGCGAACCCCGAGGCATTCTCGCTTTGTTACTCCCGACTCTCAAAGGGGCTTCGCAGCGATGTCGCACTAATGTTCATGGCATGAAACATCACTACTGGCGAAATTCGCGACATTTCGCGACCTGCCCCAAAGAGCCACATGTCGTAGCCCGTCCGCAGGGGCATCAAATCAGGGATGCCTTCGGCAACCCAAGCCGGAGCAGATAGGCATGGCAGCAAGTTACTATCATCTCGAGGTCATTCTCGGTGGGCGAATGGAAAATTCTGCGACAAGATGTTGATGCTCGACTCAGGAGTGAAGATCACGCACTGAAACGGGGTTTTGCTGTCGCAATCTGGCAGATGTGAATAACTAAGTCACTTCGCAAAAGCGACCAAGGAGCTCGACCGGGCAAGGGCTCTAGATGCTCCTGGTGAGATGCTTCTGTATTCAACATGGCCTGATGTGCCGATCAAGTGCGGATGTTTTTAGGCGTCGATCGTGTGCTACCCAGTAGGTGCTTCCCGCTGCGGGTCTCAGTCTGGCAGAACAATACTCGGTGGTTTCCAAGGTCTGAACTTCATGCCTTGCTGCGTCTGCATAAGTGTCTTGTGGTTTGGATTCCTACGCTCAGGCACATCCTTTGTCGAGGCACCACAGGAAACTTCGGCAACTTCCCTCGTGACCCCCTCGTCGGCATTCGTAGAACTCGTGTGGTTCGTCTCTTCTGTAAGTTTGGAAAGATTGGCCGGCAGAGTCTGCCAACGCTTCTGGCCGTGATCCTGTTCAGCCTCTGAAGGCTCCAAGCCTTCAGCTGTCGCTCGCGTGTCTGAGCATCTTGCACTTAGTGCTGCCTGGCACATGGGCCCCTTGGGCTCCTGGGGCCCCTTGGGCCCCTTGGGCTCCTTGGGCCCCTTGGGCCCCTTGGGCTCCTTCAGCCTGCGCAGGTTGCCCTCCTGCAGTGTCACCGAGGGCAGGTGGGCAAGGTACGCATGAAGACCCAGTTCACGCAGCAACTCCTCCCGCTCGGCACGCTCCACCCTTTCAAGGTCTGACCAGGTCAAGCCTTCCTTTAGAAGCTTCGACTCAAGCGATTCCAGCATCTGGACCGGTGGTGCTGCGCATGGTGCACTTGTTGCACTTGTTGCACCTTCAGCCTCATTGACTCTGCGAGGAGCTGCGATTGCAAGTTCACAGCAGGCGACCTGGCCCATGCCGGAAACCCATCGAAGGAAGGACGCTCATGGTCTCTCTCTTGCCCAACAGGTTTGGCACAGGATGACGTTGCGATTTGAGGATATCTAAGTGGGAGCAAAAATACATGTGCGGTTGATGTCTCGCTTCCACGACGCAATGTTGGGGTTGCCAGATGGAAAAAGTCTGTCAAACAGCTGCAGCGGGCTCAGATACGCATCAGTACGCAGCGCATCAGCACACAAAGACTTGTGCAAAAACCGCAAAAAACCGCAAAAAGCCCTCAGGCGTCTGCCATTCTCATCCTCCTTCTGCTGAGAAAGTCCAAGGCCTGTGGTCTCAGTCGAAGCCTTGCCAAACATTACCCATGCAAGAGCCGGCTAGGCACCATGCGCTGTGCTAGATTTTCCAACGCGGCCTTAGAGAAAACATGCCTTGAATCCGCACATCTCCTCAAACTCAGCGTTTTACTTCCATTGAGACGCGCACGTCGTCAAAAGCGAGGCCATACCTTAGCACACGTCGCTTGACGAGGAGGCGAACAAATCACTGCCTCGTTGGTGGCTGCCAACGTGTTTTTCTACACAACACATCAGAGGCAGACCAGAAAACGTTGGCAAGGGCCCAGAACCCTAAACCGCCTAAAAAGCATGACTGTCGGACTTCATCTTATAGCGAAGGTGTTTATTTAAGACCTAAACGTTGTCTGATCAGGTCGTCTATGTCTTTATGTCTTCGGATGGGGTACTCAAGGCCACCGCCCGGCTTTTGTCGGACCAGGTTTTTCTGATAACCCACTGAAACGTCAGAAACTGTCCATGTGAGACGGTGCTTGCTTGCGTCTGCGATCACAGCGAGGAGACTTTATCCTCACGCACATGCACACGGAACTCTGACCGGCTCGCGCACCGCAGGCCTGCCACTTGGCAAGCCGCGCTCGATCAGCAGGATCTTCTGTGCAGGACATCAGCAGGAGCTCACGAACTGCTGGATGAGGAGCTGGAGCTGGAACCGTGCCTGCCATGTCTGTCAGGTGGCACTGGAAGCGGCTGGAAGCTAGTGGACGGCGCAAGCAAGCCAAGCATGCCAACAGTCGCGTTCATCTCAAGCCCACAACCACATGTCTAGAGCGTTGCTTGACGCAGGTATTCTCATGTGAAGCTTGTGATAAAGGTGAGAACGTGCGGGGCAGACTTCTTCAGCTTCTTCACTTTGAACTTCTTCTCCTTTGGGCACACATTCAGGTCCGCTCAGATGGCGCAAGTCCATGTTCCGATCTAAGCTGTACTTGGTAGGTCATTGTAGGTCATTGTAGGTCCTTCTTGTCCTTTTTGATTTTCTTTCCTTAGAGCCACCCACAGGAATGACACACCTCGTCAGCTTACGGCACTCTTACCTTGCCCTTTGCTGCAGAGCCGCCATGGCCAAAGGCCTCGTGAAAAAGCATCTGCCCAGCAGCTGCTGCGCCGATACCCATGGCTCCTGCACCTGCAGCAACTACTGCCGGTAGTAGAGGGTGGCTTTGAGCTGGTTTCAGTGTGAAGAGATCTGTCTGCCTTGCCTGCATGAGCGGCAGGTCCGTAGCCGTGAGGCACATGTGATGGGCCAGGTAGAGCATGTGGGCCGTGGTGCATGCCAGGTATGGCACCATGAGGGGTGCCATGTACGTAACCTGCCGGTCCAGGAGCTCCGTGGGGCTTTCCTTGGAACAGGTGCCGAGGGTGCAAGCAGAGGAACGAATAACTAACACCTGCCCGATGAACGAATAAGCTGGATCTAGGAACTGGCTAGTTGAGTTAACAGGTTCAAATGCATGTTAAGCTGAGTGACCATGTTGCCATTTGATTCCAATCTTCAGCTTTCCAGCCTTCTTGCAGCCACCAAACGCATGGGGGCGTATCAGCTCCAAGGATCCTCACAAGCGCGGCAGCACGAGCACCAGCTACTTGTACCTAGGCTTAAGAAGTTTTGGAGGAAAGTTGCCACAAGTTAAGCATGTGCGGCCGTGTAGTTTCCTGTGAAAAGGCATGGAAAGTGCACGCGTCGAACGCGGGCACTCGCAGTACGGTGCCGTGACCGTTGGGTTGTTTCCACGTGTGATGCTTCCCCATCATCTCTGGGCCCGAAAACGCGGCAAGGTGTCCCAAACATCCTCGTGGCGGGTGCCAAATCGTGCCTCGCCTAGATCCCGTGCTTTTTGAGCCTTGCACCGTTCCATCTCGCCACAATGTGCACATGTTCTGGGATCTTACTGCTGGGATTTGGATACATCTGGGAGGTGTGTTCGCGTCTGCTGTCTCTACGGGGGGCTGGAGCATGGCACACGGTCCTTCGAAGTCGGAATGGAGCGGAAGGCCCTTGTAGACAGTCTCTCCTATAAGTCCATCAGCAACCAATATGTTGCTGTCCATGGCAAGGAAGTGAATGTCAGGCTCCCCTCGCCAGTCAATCATCTGCGCCCAATGAAACTTTGCCTTCTTGCCTGCATTAGTCATCACCTGGGTGCGGAACTCCCGACCACCCAAGCGAATCTTGACGTATGGATCCATCTTCCCCGTCCAATCCTGCGTGGAGCGATGCTCCGACGAAGAGGGTGAGAGGTTTGTCACAACATGCAAAACTCAAAACGCAGTGCAATAAGCCGTCCAATGTCAGACCGGGTATCGACATCATAAAGATCCTTCGCACTCTCAACCAGCAGCATAAAGCTGCCGGGAGAATGGGAGGGCCCCGGTCCGCAGGGTGGTGCCCAAGGGCTGTGGGCAAGCTCGGCAGGCATTGCGCCACCCACGACATGACCAGCAACAACTGGCGCCACCTCAGTTTCTCACCGGAGGTTCTGATATGATCTTATGTCGACTTCGAGAATGATCTATGAATCTATGTGCAAACAGATCGCACGGGCTTCGCAGACCTCGTCATGCCCCTTTCCAGTAGCACACCTGAAGAGGGAGCATGATGGTGCATTGCAGTTCTTGGGAAGAACTCTCACAGGCACTTTGACACCCGTCGACTGACAATCAATGAAGTTCCTAGAGCCATTGCACGCAACTCTCGCATGGGGAGAGGCATGGGTAATAAGCACTGCCGTGGCGGCATCATGAGCATAGGATGGTCCACTCAATTTTGGGACTTGCTACGACAAAAACACTTCTGAAGGACTACTTTTCCTAATGGTTGGGCAGTCTTTGTTGAAAAAGCTATTCAACAGCTGTGTCCGGCTTCAGGTTCGGGACCTTCGGCAGCATGTATCATACCCCGATGCCGGACGTCTTCCGCAGCCCATCTTGCCTTGGCTGCAAGATTAGCAGCTATCTGGAGATGCAGGATGCTGCATTGGCGAATTACAGAACATCTCAACTGCAGCAGGAGAACAGGATGAGGGAGCAGCAGATGCGTGCGAACTCGGACAGGCTTGGCAGCTTGGATTGTGCTCTCGGCCACCAGTCGTCGCGCAATTCCGACAGCACGTGTCATAGCCACCCTTGGCCTTGCAATTTGAGGATGCGCGTCCCATGTCATGTTGCACTGGGCATCTGCTTGAACTTCTCAGGTTGGCGCAGAATGCCGGCCGCACCCCATTTTGCACAGGGCTCCTCGGTACATGTACTGCCAACTTCTTGAACGTTACTGGCTGCGAGACTGCTTTAGGGTCTAGAGATTCTGTCATTCATTTCATGAGAACTCGTCAAGAGCAAGTTCTGCCTTTACATCCGCCAAGCCAACAAGCAGCTAGGTGGGGGAGGACCAGCGCCCGTCATCTTCTTATCCACAGTTTTTTTGAGAATAACACCGCCACCCCCGTTTCGCGAAGTCTTCCTGAAGGAAGCAATTTCGCTGGCATCTTGATCTTGGACAGGAATAGGATAGGCATATCCCAAGCGTCTGGGGAAGGGTGAACCACCAAGAAACCACTTTCACCAACATACCCTTCCGGGCTTAAAATGACTATCTGTCAAGAAACTTAAGACGTCCGAATGACAACGCTTCCCAATTCTCATTCAGACACTCCGGAGCACAGCTTCGGGTTCGGTCATGTCAGACTCTTCTGCCCTAAACACGAAGCAATCCTGAAACCGAAACGTTGAACTCGAAAGCCCTTAGCCCCAAATCCTAAACCCTAGTTCTGCACAGCCATTGCATTCATGATCGGCGTCAAAAATGTGAAACCAGCAGCAGCGGCAAGCCTACTGAGAATAGTGGTGCCTGAAGCATCTCTTCAACAGAAGGCTGCATAAGGTCCCTTTTGGAGTTCCTATGATTTGGCAGCCCCTAATGTTTAGGGTAACCAAACAGGGACCCTAATTTAGAGAGTTCACAATATGGGTATCTCCCAAAATAGGGGTACCCCCGTTTATACCCCAAATTGAAGAGAACCCCCTTAAAGGGATCCCCGTTTGGGGTACCCCTCCTTTCGGAAACCCCCATAGATGTTGGAGCAAAGACATACCGTTTCGGCGTGGAGTCTGGAGCTTCCTTCTTGCAAAGGACAAGGCCCGCACCACTCTTCAGGAGACACTCCAAAAAATATAAAGCCTTGAGAAGATTCCATCTTTAAACGCAACAGGCAGGCAGGCTCCGGTAAGCTCCAAACCCCAAAACATCAAATTTCTCTATGTAATAAGCTGAAATACCTGAAGCATGCTGAAGCCCCAGCTTGGACGGGCTCGAAGTCTACCCGAATCGGAGAAACGACAGCGGGGGCAGGCCTAAGCTGCCTGTATGTGTGGGTTTGGTCTAGTGGCATAGCGTACTCCCTTAAGAAACTACTAAAACTGTACTCCCCCGCGTTTGGGGGGACAGGGCTCTTTCAATGGACCCATGACATACACTGAATGCGAACCGTTGGAACCGCCGAACAGAACCGTGCGAACCGAACCGGACTGGAACCGAACCGCGCATAATTAAGGTTCGGTTCTCAGAAACCGAACCGAACCGTGGCAACCTGAGAAAGGCGATTGAGGTGCAGCTTGTCGCGCCCAGCATGTGGTCTAGGACGGTCTAGGAGCCGCATACAGCGTCTACAGTATGACGTGTCCTTGATGCAGACTGGGCACCCGGTTCGTTGATCATGGCACCCGGACTCTGGCAATCACGACAACGACATTGTGGGCAACGGGCCGTGGGCGGCCATTCTGACTGAAACGATCTGACCTTTTTTGGGCCCGAGATGCTAAGGTAGCTAAGAGGTACTTAATGGTTGGGGCATTACATGCCGCACATTACAGCCCTCTTGCTGTAGAGCCAACTGGTGCATGTCACTTGTCAGCTTGAGAGAGGCATTCTGTCGCGAAGCAGATGCATGCTGCATTGCCACAGCCAACCATACTGAAAACAAAGGTGGGGGGGGGATTGGGGCAAAGCTGTGCTGAATTTAAGTGTAGCAGTTGTACACCACTACATCGGCAAGCTGGGGCACTCTGACTTTTTTGGGTCTCCTGTACTTGTACTTTTTCGTTGCTCACTAGGTACTGAGTAGCTGGCTTCTTGGCCCGTTCCTTCTTGTAGAGCATCCGATGGTACTCATCGCACGGATGGTCCCATACCTGCAACTTTGTCGGAATACATGGCACCCTATGACAACAACAAGGGTGAGAGTGGGATTGAACAATGGCACCATATATGTTGACGACCACAATGCCAGAAAATGAGGCGGGAACGCTTTCGCCAGTCTCGAAATTGAAGTAGAACACCTCATTCTCCTTGCACGATGTTGGCATTGCAGTTCATGCATGTGCATGCAAACTATACATACGGATCCTCACCTGTCTTTTTTGTGTACAGCAGTCCCATAAGAACAACAACGACAAATCTCATACAGCTCGTGCGGTGTTTTGTTGCGGGGATAGCCTGGGACATAACGCTTGTTCATGACATCCAAGGCGCGCTGGTAGGCTGCTGGCTGACATGTTCGAGCTTTCAGAGACTCGACTGACACAAGTTCGAGATCCAAAGCACATAACACATACGTGGTCAGTTCTCTAACTTGTGGTGCCTTTTTGGGCCATTACCCCAAAAATATAGGGGGCCGCCTTGCAACAAGTATCCCCAAAGGACCCCTTCCTAGAGAAGTGACCACATGACATACACACACACAGACAACAAATCCTCAACCAGCAGATGCTTTCACATTCAGAGTAAGTTGGCGACGTGACCAGATCAACAAGCAGGATGCAAGTCTGGAGCATCATCCAAGGGCTAACATAAACACTGCCTCGGAATCGCTTTGCAGACCTGTATGAGCCTGTATGTACATGTTTGTGTTGGCTTGATTTGAATTGGGCCGGCAAGAAAGAAGCATTCTTCTCGGCATTTCGCTCGCCTTCTGGAGGCGAAGGCATGGTCCAGCAGACCGTTTGGGTTTCCCGCTGAATCTTCTTTGTGCTACGCTGAGGAGGTTTGTAGAATTGTCCCATTCCCAGAGCAGCTTCACAACGAGCAGCACATGGTCGGACATGCTCACCGCCCGACGACACGCGCAAAGCTCGGAGAGCAAACAACCGAGAAGACCAAGAGATTGGGCGTGCTGGGGCAATGGTGATTGGGGGTGTGCTATGGTGTGTCACTGGCTCAGTGATGCGCACTGACTTACTGTGAACCTTGCGATCTCGTTATGACTGTCTAGGTTCCAGATGCCCTTTTCAGATCAGACAGACCTTATCCCCAACACATCCCAACACGTCTCATTGTTTCGCAATATTCCGAATGCTGAAGCCACCCTTCTTGGGGCATGACGTCTCCGCCTGTAGTGCAGGGCTTCCAGGGAGGAGGCAAGGGAACCTCCGCAAACACAACAGCCCATGCAATGCCTTGCGTGCGCGTGGACTCCTCGTGACTCACAAGCTCACAAGCCTTCAAGCCGGCTCTGGCAATCCACATCAAGTCCTTGTCGTTCTCGTCCATTCCAAGCCTGAGCTTGTTCAAGTGTGTTAAGGTACAGCCGCCGCTCAGCAAAACAAGTTGCATATGAAGAAGGCGTGAGATGCTTGGGACGCGGCCATTCGGAGTAGTCGAGGATCTCCTGCTCTGTTGGCTCGTATTCCTGGAGTGAGCAATGGCGAGCACCCCCCCCGTTGCTTTGAGCAGAAACTCATTGCCATGAGTGCCATTACCATTTTGACTCAACAGTCCGAGTCGACATGCTCCTCAAGCACCACAGACCTTGAAACAAATGAAATGTAGGCATCTGCCAACCGTGTGCTCCACAAAGGATACTACAAATAGCGGGATGTAGAGGGGATCTCTCACATCTGTGAATAGTACGGTTCAGGGCTCAGCCATCCTTTGAAGTTGCAAGCTTTGCTTTAGCCAGTGCCGCCCACCTACAATTATTTTGCGACACCTCCTTTTCTGAACGGGGCCGCGTGGGGGACGTGCTCGGGGGCATGCACGGAGAGCATCCCAAAAAAGCGTGTTCCGGCGATATCCGATGGCATGCTCGTTGATTTGGGTCGACCCGGAGCAGCCTGACTCGCGAGCACCTTTGGCGCGCACATGCGCGCACGGATCCCTGTGGGGTGCCCGTGAGGCCGTAAGGCGACGTTGCCCTTAAGACTTGGAAAGGGCGCTTGGCGCACCACGGAGGCGCGCATCGTGAGCGTCAAGCGCTGGCCGCTGGCGTCCCGGATCCGGGGCGCGCCGGGCGAGGGCTCAAGGCCAGGAGCTGCCCAGAGACCCACATCAGGAGCATCAGCAGTCCGGGCCTGATGCGGCTCACGTGCACTTTTTGGAGCCAGCGTTTTCCGACAACGCCACGCGCAAGCATCTCCGCTCAGTTTTTGGAGCCGCCCGGCAAGTGCAGCGTTTCCGCACACTTTTTGGGGAGCCAGCATTTTCCCGAGCGGAGCATTGGCATTTCCGCGCAGTTCTCCGAGCCTGGCTTTTTCAAGTCTTTCTTGGAGCCTAAACCCCTTCTACTGCCTGTGCTGTCCGCAGTCCCTTGCATAAGTTTCCATGCGGTTCTCGTCGCAACTCTGCCAAGTCTGCAGAGATGCGGATGCTCAGGTTTGACTTTCAGTGCTCGGACACTCTCGGCAGCCGGCCGACTTTCCATGGCCCGGGAATGCCCCCGTGCCTCTAAGGTGAGTCAGATCAAGGCTGCAAGCAAACCTCTTTGAAAGTAAGTCGCCCGCCTGAGTTTGTCCAGCCCGTTGCCACACGATAGAGCAGGATATCACACCATTGAACCCTGAAAAGCTCAAAGCCTCATCATGCTTACTGAGGCCTGCGTACCCTTCCAATCTACCTGCTCCTCATGCATCTTGTATTGGTTTTACAATGTTTTACAAGGCTGCAGTGTGGTCTGGATCACCCCAAACATATTGGCACATCATTTGTTGCTGCATTCATGTGGCTCGCCTATCTAAGCTGTGAAACCTGAGCAAGCGGCAGGGCATGGCAGATCATGCGAGTCTTTAAGCGGTCATGGAAGCTCACTGACAATCAATGTCGCCATTTTACGGCAGGTGAACAAGTTGGGAGGGCTTGCGGCGTGAGTGTCTTTTGAACCAGGGCACTTAACCCACCACACCGCTTCCTCTTGGATTGAAGATGCAGTGTGCTCGAGCTCTCAAACTCCCTCAAGCAATGTTCGAACCTGACAGGGCCACGCTTGGACAAATCAGCACGATGCACCGGATCCTAAGTTGCATAGTTCGGGGTTGTTGTCTAAGTGCAGCTTTCCTGGACTACTTGTTCCACAGCTTCTTCCCCTCTGGCGAGGTCAGGAGTGGGCCGTCGTCGCGGACAAAATGCTCTCTAAGTTGCTTACTTTAGTTGAAGACCATTCGGCGTTGTGCCACCAAGCCCTCGTCTGAACCCATCGTCTTGCCAAAAGGCAGTTTTAGCTAAGTCAAGTCAATGGCCAAGCACTGCAAACCAACATGTAACTCCGGTCGAGCCCACCTGGTTCGGCGTGTGCGTGGCAATGCCGAGTGCTTCAATCCCGGTGTACAGCTCCTCGTACTCTGCAGCTATGAGTGCAGATACTCCTTTGCGGGCCTTTTCCCTCAAGGTCGCGTCGTCGATTCTCTCCAGCAGTCGGAGGGACAATGCTCCACCCAGCGTGAATAAGGAGTTGTAGAAGGAGCGCAGGGTCGTGGCAAGGGAGACGGGGTGCAACTCAGGAACCGAGTTGAGTGGTGTCTCCGGCAGTTTCTCGCGCAATGCCTTCAAACGCTCAGCAAGACCCACTTTGGACAGAACGGCTTTGGTCTGACCTTCGACTAGTCGGTTGAGCTGGTCGTCGAGGAAGAGTGTATACATTTCTTGTCGCTGATTGGTGAAGTCATGCTTCCGCAAGGGCATCTGCATGGCACACACGCAGTTGATGAGAAATACATGTCCATCTGCTGTGTCCATCATGGATGCAACTTGCTGGCAATGATTGAGTAAGGGGTCGAATGCGGCAGAAAGCACAGGCAAGAAATCGGCCTCACGCTCACCAGCTGGAACAGGAGCCAACTCATAAATGGACAGAACTTCTTGCAACGTGTTTGAGGCCTCCAAGACGAAAGACGGAGCAGAAAGAGCTGCGACGTACACCCCAGCAACTCCCTGGCGAAGCTTTTGCGCCTGTGCTTCCCAAAGGTCCAGGAAGCTTTGGTACGTTCGGGCATGCAGATCCATACACGTAGAAACTAGCGCTGAGCCACTTCGACGAAGTTTGTCTTCAATCGTCTTCGCGTAGAACGAGAGCACTTGGGCCACTTTGTACATTGTAACAATCGCCACGTTGGTCTGCAAGGCCTGCTTCGTCTTGGCGACAAGTGTTGCAGCAACGCCTTCCAATGCAATGTCAAGGATCTCGTCAATCCCAATGACGGTCCTAGGCTTAGCGCACGAGTATCATGATACTTCATCAGACATGGCGAATGAACTTGTGAAGTTAGTGACAGTTAGTGACAGTTAGTGGCTGCATCTCAGTCTGTTGCCAAGATACGAGCCCTCAACTGCATCTGAGTGCGTCTCTGAGCTGCCAGTCTTCGCCTGCCAACGTACTCTCAAAGGCAGGAAAACAACTACTTGACAGAATCTGCAGAGACATCACACCCTCAACTAGTGCAACTAGAGGACTGCTACAGGGGAGCAGTCTCACCTTTTTGTGCGACCAATGCATGCCTCATATATTCTGTTCATTCCCTTCCGACCTCTGGCTCCATCAGGGCTGTGACGGCTTCGCTCTCTGTGGCAACCTGCAATTGATTCTTAGCAAGTCTTATCCAGACCGACGCTACAATGTGAAGGCCTCAGTAATCAGTGAGTGTAGCCACTTCGTGGCCAAGCGGTCTAAACATGGCACTGAGTTGCCCGGCATTTTCGTGGATCCATGCCAGCATGTCGCTCACGTAGCGAACTTGGTCACCAGCCTGAGCTGCTTGACTGCAGCACTGGACTCACAATTCGCCCCTGTAGTCCGATGATTCCCATGATGAGTAGTGTGCTCAGCATAACGACTCTGAGCTCCTCACCTGAAGCTCGATTGGCCGAGCCCCGCAGGATGCATCTCCCTGAGTCAGTGCCTCTGAGGGTGCGCAGATGACATGCAGCATGCCACATGAGACACGGGACGATCTGTTGCACAACCACCTCCAAGAACCTGTGCTGGAGCGCCTGCTTCCTGCACAAGTAGCTGCAGCCCACACTTTGACACTGCCACTACTCAAACGCTTGCGTTACTTCAAGCAAACCGCAGACTTCAGCGTCCTGACTCGCGCAATGTCGCGCCAGCAATGGTTGAAATACACAGGTCGTTCCTTCAATAGCCTTTGTTGCCAAGAGTCAGCGTCAGCAGTTCATGACAGCCCAAACATGGACAGGAAGATCTGTTGTTCGGAACTCTTTTGGAGTGGCGTTAGGAGCCCCCTCGAGGCTGAAGCTGGGCGAAGCCATCGTCGCAAAAACCTCCTGTAAATACTGTTTGCAGCGGCTGTGGCACGTGTGTTGTTTGGCTTTTGTTGCTTGCCGCCGTCGGACCCTGCGCACATCTTTGCCCGTCGGACCCGGGCATGGATCTCCGCCGACACGCGACGCATTTGGCTGTTTTGCTTTACTTGCTGCTTCTGCAACACAACAGTCAAGCTGAGCAGTGCTGCGCTGCACGTTGAATGTTGGACGCGATGTGCCTCCAAAAAACTTCATGGCTCAAAGGCGAACAAACAATTCAATGAGGAAACCGCTCAGCTCAAGCTCAATTCCATGACAACAGTCACAGCCACAGCTTTTCAGGCTCCTGGCTAAACAAGGTTGAGTGGTGCACATCTATCCCGCCGAAAGTCCCTGCCATTCAAGCCCACCCTCTCCCGTGTGCTTGCAATGTTGAATTTTGCCTGCTCTGTTCCCTGCCTGAGCCATCCCTCAATCTTTGCCTGCTAGGTTGGCACTACTTTATGCCCACTTCGCAGTTTGCAAGCTAAAAGGAGGTCCGCACTCCACAGGAAGGGCAGGACTTGGAGACGGCAGTTGCCCTCCCCCACCCAAGTTCCAGAGGTGACAGGATGACAAATCTAGCGAGAAGATTGAAAACCACCGCTTTCATGATCAAGACATGAAAAGGAGTATCCTGCAACTTCCTTCTGACTGAGGGTAGTTTTGCTGAGGACCTCGTCCAGACCAGCAACAGGCAGCCCCTGAAAGCCCAGCTGAGACATGGAATGTTCTCACATAGACCGGCGTGGGCATTGTGACACACACACACACACATGCTGCTTCCCGATGTTGCTTTGATGGGGTGTAGCCGCAACCTTCCAAACGAAGACATACGTTGTCACATGCCCCCAGCTTCTTGCTTAGTCCTGCTCGACTTGACTTGGGGACACCCTTGGGGACCTTATCCGGCACACATCCGGCATGGGAGTCCGGAGACCAAGGCTGAGATGCGAGCTTCAGCACCCGCTTTAATACGTTCCCAGCAGGCGTCTCCAGCTCCGCGGACCTAACCACACTTGTCGAGCACACTGGGGGGGGAAAAACCCAACCCTTGAATGGATCGGATTGCAATTCTGAAAGCCGGGCGTGCTCTTTGCCACGGCAGCATCTCTTGAGCCGCGGCACTGTTGTTGCACCTTGGGGGGGAGGGGGTGGGGGGCCATTCGAAGGACTTGCAAGGACTTGCGAATGCAAAGAACTGAAAAAGAAGATAAAAGCATCCGAGGCTCCCAAACAAACATTCGCTCGTAGGAAGCCTAGATCTTGCCAGGGGCGCAGCACGTGAGCACATGAGCAAGCCGAAACTGAAACTTCAAGTTTGCCTCCAACACCTCGGACGTCTCATGAAGAATATCGACCTGCCAAATCTGTACATGCTGAGCCAACCTTCTAGAATTCCATTCCGTGTAAGAAGTGCAGTTTCCTCTGGGCATCAAGCTCCAGAAGTTTGTTGTCCACTAGTACTCAGCCTGAGCAGAGGTTGCCAGGGTGGCACAGAATTTCAGAGTCACTAGCAGCAGCTGAAGTTGTGATGAGTGCAGCGCATGTGGCGCGCATTGGCACGCACCTGCTTTCAACAAGCGCTGGCCATGAAGTTACACAGCAACGAAGCAGCTCCGACCTGCTCTAGCCTTTCAAATGCAGCAAAGAAGTCGTCGTCCAACGGTCGGTCTCCAGAACGCACAACTTGCGTGTCTGCCTGTCGAGCACATGCTGTATGAAGGGCCTAAGTAGCGTTGGTGATAATGTGGTCTTCAGGGGGGGCTGCTCGAATGATCCGGGATGTGTCGACTGAGCAGCAGGGACTGCAGTGCCGAACATCCAGGCTGAGAAGGGCACGTTTCTTTTTTCACAGAAGCTGCTGAACACGCTTCTTCTTACAAGGATTACCCGTACAGCTGCAAATCGCCTACTCCTAGAATCCTAGAAGAGTGGAGCAGCCCGTGACAAGCTGCGTGGAGTGCTGGAAGCCTTTGGAAGCCTGGGTTTTGCATGGATCTTGCGATGCCTTGTGGTCCTTCATGAAATTTGGAATTTGGCTTTGGAAAGCTGCATGGACTTCAGCTTTGGCAGCTGACGACTTGAAAGCTTGCGTTGTGGAAGCACTGAAGGTCTGAAGGGTTGCAGATGCATTTTGGAGCACCATTTGTTCAATTTCTTCGTACCGTGCTTACATTCTGGCACATGAGATAGTGCCATCTGCTAGCTTTCTTCTCCTTGCAGGACCACAAGAATCGTTCTCGCAGCACGCAACACAATTCAACACAACTTCTAGCACAGCGGTGACAGCTTCAGAGTTTTGTCAGCTTGATACTTTGGCACAGCTTACAAGCTTGGCCGAGGCGTTCTCTTGCAAAAAGAGCTGGACTTGGACAACACCACATGCCTACCTCCTATTTCTGTGCAAGAAAGTTGCAACGGCGAAAACAAGCAGCGAAAACCGGCCCCTCCTCTGACAAGCGAAACCGAGTCAGGAACTTGTCCAAAACCTGTCCAGATTGTGGGGGGGCTCCTTTGAGCACAGCGCAGTGCTGTGCAACTGTTGCCCAGCTGTCACTTAACAACTAACCAACCTGCTGCTTGAGTTCGATGGACATGGACTCCTCCAGCAGTCGCTAGTCGTAGCAATCGGGATGCCATGAACAGATATGAAAATGTACACCTGTCCTTGCGCAATGCCGCTGCCTTCTCCAGACTCGCCTCCAACTGTGGCTTTGCCAGCTAAGAAGCGTCAATATGATATATGCATATATGTCCGTGATGTGCCAAGGCTGACAGGTGTTGCAGTGCATGGTATTGCAGTGCATGTGCTTGTGTCCGCTTGTTCCTGCGTCTCGGAGCGGCTGGCTCTCAGTTGGTCGCTGGCACGCTGCACGGCCCCATCCTTGCATCGTGCGGGCATAATGAAACAGCGTTCCTGTCTCCTCTTCCCTGATAGCTGCGCGACAGCTGTGAGCCGAGCCAGCCGATCGACCAAACGTTCCAATCCCACCAGTTGGCTCTCCAGAGCTCCGAATGCGTGCACAAACTCCTCCAAAAAATGATGCGACAAAACGGATGACACATTTGGGGACGGGTTTGCGAGACAGTCCTTGTGCAGACAGAGGTTCTCACCCTCGATGGAGGATCGTAAGTTCCTCCCGTCATCACATGCTTCACACTGCTTGGCCCTTCATGCCCGATCGCCTCCGGTTGTGGACAGTATTCTCGCTGAAGAATCCAGACAAACATTTCAGTGCGTCTCTTGACCTGCCCATTCACCACCAACACAGAAATCTGAGGGCAACTTACAGCAACTTGGTGATTTGATACCAGGCAGGGGGCTGTTGAGAGTCAATCCTCAATGTCAGTGCCTCGTTTGCAACGCAAGGTAAGATTCAACGATGCCAGTCAAGAATCCACAAGAGCCAAAGCACCGCGCCTTCTGAATCTTCTTGGTCAAGTGTCCACCTAACACAGAACCGATTCCAGCTCTAGCAGTTCAGTAGAGCTGCTCCGACTTAGACTTAGACTACAGCTTCGAGATTTTCAGCAAGCAGCGCTTATGTCTCATGGAATGCCATGTCAGTGGCCCGGGCTGGCCGAGCTAGCGCCGGCTGGAGCAGCTTGGGAAGCCTTTGCCACCCCACGGAAAGGAGCCCCCATGAGCCCCCCTGACTACCGAGAACTGTATGCCCCAACAGCACTCCCCCCATGACCATGGCAGCAGTGAATCTGTGTGCTCAGTGCCTGAGCGGCATCAGAGGATGGCAGCCCGTCATGGCCAGCGCTCATGAGCGAATGGCTGGCAATGCCTGATCAGGCTTCCGTAGGCCTTCGAGGCCACAAGGTTTGCATAATTTTGTTGCACAAGCTGCGACCATCTGCAATGTCCGTCCGGTCCACTCACCGGGACAATGTTGTGTGCAATCTTGTGTATTGATGTGTACCGGTAGGTGCAATCACTGTGCAACTTGGTCTGTAAACTTGAAGTGCCTCTTGCAAGGGCATCTTTAAGCTGACAGGTTTGGCAGATGGTTGGCCTTTGCTGAGGGGATTGCTTGCTCTGCGTACATCTATATTCGTGTAGATTTGTGCAGGTGCTGCTAGAGGCAGGCATCGGGTGCCCGGGAAGTGAGCAAGCGAACACTGCACACATCGATAAAAAGCGGGCCATGGACCGAGCAACTTAGCGGAGGCTTCTTTCAGAGTGCATGCATGCGTGGGCTCATGCCCGAATCGCAGGTGAAACCTCTCTCGCCCTGTTTGTAATGTTATGGCACTGAAGTTTGCGTATTTTTCCACTATCAGAGCACTCACTCGGTGAGAGCTCATTACTGTAAGATGCAAGATAGAAACCATTAGCCCGAACCAGTAGCTGCTCCAAGCTTGGCAGAGTTGCTCCACTCATTTGGCAGTGACAATCGGCAGACCCGCTGTTTTTCAGCAGGCCTCGGCACAGAACCATCGTGAGCCAGTAGAATCGGCTTCTCCATTGGAGTTAAAGAGCAACATCGGCCTCCAAACGCTTACTCCTCGGTCTCTATGGCCGGCAGGTTCTCCTCAATGAACCTGAGAAAAAATTAAAACAACTCTGGCATGAGCCTCCGGTTCGCATCCATTGAGGCAACAACTTCAGAATCTCTGGCGCTTTCAGGCCTTCGATTTGCATGACCTGTCGCAAGCGAAAGGTGGCAAGGTTGTGCATGTAAGTCCTCTGCATAGTCCTCTGCCAAACCGACGAAACACTTTCGAGGGCTTCCACATCATCCAACAACAGGAGCAGGTACAAGCCTCTTCTCCACCTTTGTAGAACCTGAACGTTGTCTGAACCAAGCTCGGGCGCGCTCTCCGCTGCCCAATGTCACCACACGCACACGCCAAGGTTCCTGAATAGGTAAGCTCCCGGCAAGAAGCGAGGCTTGCTAGTCTCTGGGAATCGCTCTTCATACTGCAAGGCAGGATGCGCTTCTCCATTGCTTGCCACGATTTCTGCATGCAGGAATGAGTTGCCAACCATGACAACGCAATCATGTCAACTGGCACTAACTGAGAAGATGGGTGAAGAACTCTGCATGTGGCCTCCGGCAACACATTCCGCTCAGCTTGCGTGATGGTGCATCGATCCTCCCACTAGGCATCGACTCTGGGAAACAGGACTAAGCAGCAAGAATAAGCCAGAGAACAGAGCCTGCACGATTTCAAGAGTCCCTTGGCGTAAAGTGGCCCTACTAGCCGCATGCCCGTGGCAGGGCCCACATTCAAGTTGCAGCAGCTAGTCCTCGAAGGCGTCCACGTTCAGCTTAGTAACGAGGGCGCTATAGCGTCATGCAGCAAACTTGCGTGATGTCGCATGACGCTCTTTCCGATGGTGGCCCATTCCTGGGCTGAGCATGCCTGAGCTCAGCACCTGAAGGTTCTTGAAGGTAGGAACCTGAGTGCAGAAAGTCGGCTAAGAACTGCTGAAACATGTCAAGCATGAAGCATGGCTGCGGCCTGTATCGTGCTATGGCCGTGGCTATAGATAAGCAAGGGCCACACCATGCTGTATACACCTCAAGAGAGTCGAAGTCAACCGAGTTGCAGCTTCCATACGAAGCAGAAAGCCACATGAACAGCTGTAATGGTCCACACTGTCATCGCACACAAGCTTGGTCTGCAACATCTACAATATGGAGCTTCTTGCAGCCCTCCTGTGCGAGAGAACAAACAGAGCTACTGCTGAGCCATGGGCAAGATAAGCAACGCTACTCAAAAAGCACTCCGTCATGGCAAATACACAGACTATGCGTCCATGCCAGTTCATCATCGAAGCAACTGAAACAATGCTGCCCACGTGGCCTTGGAAATTTGGGCCTTGAAGTCTTCAACGTCAAAACCGTCCTGACCCAATGCTAGCACGTGGGGACACCCACGTCTGCCATCTTTCACGACGTCGCATGACTGAATTTCTGGAAGCAAGGCCGCCTCGCCGATCTTTCTGATGATTTCCTTCAGGGGCACATTTTCAGCTTTGAGCACTTCGCTGCACTTTGCTGCACTTCCAACGGGTGCCACGAACGTTGTGTGTCTTATGCCTGTATTCTACTTTTGCAATAAGTGCTGTAACTTGACATGCTGTGCCTGCCTTCGGGGCCATCGCAGCCACGTGATGACCGCAGACCTTGGTTTAGTTTTCATCGGGCACACATCGGCGTATCCCTTGTTCAATGACAAGGCAACGTCGTACATTTGTGACCTTGCTTTTTGCACGTGGCAATTCAGTCTGGGTGCAATGCACGACAACGTGGAGAATTTGCGTGCACGCCTTCTATGCTCAAAACCACCACTGCCACCAGGCTTCCGCGTTCGCATGCGCGAAAAACGGTGCGCACAGCGATGTTTTCGATACCTCTGAAGCTCGATTTCCAAAGCCCTGGCTTTTCCAACGTGTTTCCTCTTTTGATTTTTTCATTTTTGAAAAGTGCTTGCTCCCGTATGTCATCGAACGCACATGTTAGTTGCCATGCTTCGTGTCTTCGCAACAATCAAGAACAAGGGACCGTGATGAGTTAGGTAGATGTCACGGGCAATGCACCACTGCTGGCGGGGATTGTGCAACCGCAGGACTTAGTCTGGCCTTCGTGTCTTCCAAGAACAAGCACAGGGGACTGTGAGGAGTTCGATTTCACGGGACAGCACTACTCCGGATGCAAAAAGGGTTTAAGGTCTACCAAAGGACAGCGAAAGACGCACTCCCCAAGAAACCCAGAAACCGTCGGGGTTATAAAAAGTTATAATCTGTGACGTTAGCTTAAACAACGTTGCAGGCTGTCAAGGCCACCGAGTCCCAATGGCTTTTCCCACGTGAATGCGATTCAAGCTAGGGCTGCAGCAGGAACTTGGAGCTCAATGCTTCGACTGGAACCCCCGTCTCGTTTGAACCACAATGAAAATCACAGACGGATGGCTTGCTTCATACAGCTCATACAGCTACTTGCACTCCACTATAGACTCAGAAGAAACACCGATTCGGGCTCCCTGCTCTGTCTTTTACAGCCATGCAGTTATGCGAGGCGCGCTTTCCTCGCGGACATTGCCGCTTCCTTTTCTTTCATCAGGGCAGTCACATGCGCGTTTAAACCAGAGCCCATACCCAGTTCCTTGGCCTTTGAGGCGATCCACCCATTCAAGTAGTCAATCTCAGTAAGCCTTCCCGCGGCAACGTCTTGCAACATGGAGGAACGGTTCTCTGCTGTTTCTTGTGCAGTTTGGAAGACAAATTCCTCCAAGTCAAGTCCGGATAGTTTCGCCACTTGCGCATCCTGTTCAGAATTCCGTTGCAGTGCACCTGCAACTTCGGCAACCTCGCTGCAAATCTGGGATACTTTCGCACGTGCTTCCAGACAGGAAAGAATAAAGCCATTTGGTTTCTCCTCGAGGGCCGTCAGCGGATTGATGGCTGCATTTGCAGCGAGCTTCAGCCACAAGCAGCGCTCGATATTGGAACCTTCATCCACAGCTCCCAGTCCAGCAGTCTCCAAACGCTGCAATACTGAGCGATACCAATCCGAGCTTTCAGTGTCTTTGACTGACAAAGTGCCAAACCTTGTCTGCCCCCATCCTGCATGCACAATCTCAAATGGGCCCCTAGACCACACCCCATGTGTCGTGATCCCCAAGACTAGGCGCACGTGGCTTAAACATGTCGCACGAACGATCTGCTCATGCAGGGCAAGTGCCCCATTCGAAAGTACGACGATGACAGCTTCGCGCTTCAATCGCGGCGCCAACATCTCTAACGCGTTCATTGCAGAATACGCCTTTGTCACGACTAGCACCTGATCGACATCGGCCTCCTGTCCTGCAGTTAGCGCCTCCGCATGGACGGTAGTCGCCGTAGTCTCATTGCCCTTGCTGCCTCGACAGCCATCCACTCGTAGCACGACTTTTCCCTGCTGGCAGGCTGCCAGTTTGGCAGAGCCAGGTCGCAGCAACAGCCGAGTTTCTGTGCCTGCACGGGTCAATGCAGCAGCCCATAGGCAGCCCATAGATCCAGCACCAAGAACGTGCATCCGTGTTTTTGAACCTAGAAGATCTTGAATGAGCAGAGCGAGTCCAGAGAAGTGTTACATGCTCTCCGTGCAAATACAAGACAGATGCAGTTTGATTTCCTGCTAAACTTGAGTCAACTTGAGCCATGAGAATGTACTCGGACTGCCAGCGCGTGATCAAGTGGGCAAGACTAGCTCTTGCAAAATTATCCGCTTTGCACAAGCTGCAACCAGTTCCATCATGAACGCAGCTTTGTAGGTCTTTGGCCGTTTCTTTTTTGCACAAATCTTTGGCCTACATGCTCGTCATCTCTTTGGACGGCCAGGCTCTTGCATGTCTTCCAAGCTGAAACAGGCCCACCGGAAACAACGGTAACCATGGAAGGCACTTGGACGAACGTGGGCCCCTATCCGACACTACCCACGAAATCGGGGTCTCAGCTGAGGCAGGCTGCTGTCGTGCTCCAGTGTCCTCTGCACGTCCACATGTCATAGGCTGGGCTTTGATTGGCGCGGAGAATGGACCTCACGACGTCCGCACAAGGGGTGGGAGGTGTTGTGGACGAGCTACCTCGGCGCGATCATCCAAGTGAGAAATTCTGCTCTTGGTCAGAAACCGAAAAAGAAAACACCGAAGCTTGGCATCGCGGCAGCTCAGTTTCGGGGCGGAACATGAAGAGGTGCCCCTGCGTCACAGAGAACGGCTGCACTTAACTCGTAGGACGCTCATGTATATCTTCGCTCTTGCATGCTCTTGGCATCCTCCCTCCTCCCTCCTACTCCAACTCCCCCAGCTAACTGCCGGTTGCCACATTTTTTAGCTGAACGTTTTTAGTTATGTTGTTCAGATTGTTGACAATGGTTTCGAAGTTGAGGTTGTAGGACCTGTCCGAGCTCTTTCTTTTGCTGACGATGCACGTTACAAGATGGAACTCGAAAGGTCATAACAAGAGTGCTTGAGGTCACATGGCCCAATACTACAAGAAGAACAGGTTCCCATGCACGAGCGGCAGCCCAAACCTACGCGCGGCGTGCGCGAAGCCCACGTGCAAACTACGTAGATCACGGTTGGCTTCGTGGGTGGCCCAACCCGTTTGGGACATCTGAACATTCCGCATAGTCCTGATTGCCAACTCGATGCCCACCCAGGCACTTCAGAGCTTAGGGCTTAGGATGGGCTTAGGGATTTCTTGAGATCACCAAAGGCCAAAGGCAGTGCTTCCAGATCATGGAAACATGGCCTGCGACATGACAGCAAGTACTGCAACTCCAATTTGTCTCTCTGCACATCCTCTGTGCCTCATCGCCCAGACCGCAGAATCTGCAAGACGGTTCACCATTGGTGATCAAGTCAGCCGCGATCTTCTACCAAGCTGCCACTGCAGCCGAGTCAATGAATTTGAAGCAAAGCTTACTAAAGATCTTGCATCTCTAGGGGTCTAGGAGCATGACGACACATTGGACGATCCCGGTCAAGTTGCCAACAGTAGCTGCGTTTAAACCACCTTCATTTTGAACGCCCTCCTTGCACTCTTCGAATTCAACTGCAAACTGCTCAAAGCGTCGTCTCTAGGCGGAGGATGCCGCGACCTCCTCAGGCGAAGCATTGGAATCCACTTCTTAAGCAGCTCTATAGATTCTAGATTCTAGGACCTTCTTGCTTTAATCAGATTCTGGATTCTAGACCACAAAAGGTTCCGAGAAGCTGGCGCTCAGTCAGCTGGGTGGCGCAAGGCACGCACAGCTCAAAGCGAAGCCCAGTTTGCTCTGGACACGTAGGACAAGCGTAGAACTGACCAAGGCAGTGGAAGACAATACTGATTCTCAGTGCAGAGTGCAGTCACAGGCCTCATTGGACATGATGTACGACTTCCTTATCTTGAAGGAGCCATCAGCATTCACTTCATCACTCTGCGTTGCCAGCCACGTCAGGCATAGAGAAACTGCTTCCGGCCATTCCTATCACACGAGGTTACCGAATCCAGATGTTTTCTTCGGAGGCTGGAGTCCCGCGAAGTTTGGCAATACTCGCTGTCGGCACTTTGAATACATCTTTTGCCTAAAGCGCCTCCAGGGCCAACTTGCTTTCGAAAGAATGTGGGAACTTGCACAAAGAGCGACCTGCTGTTGACTCAGCGTCACGCATGTTACGGTGGAAGGCATGGACAGAGCTCTCATAAGAATCGCATGGAAGTTCCCTGTCCTTCGGTCGCACGTGTCCTGCCCTCATGCATTTAGCCGCTAATTTGGCTTGCCCCACCAGGGTATCCGACTGGAATGTTTCGAACGGAAGATTCGGAAGAGAACGAAGGGGGTCGAGCGACATCGAGCGACGTACTGACATGGCCGTTGAAGTTGGGCACCCTGTGCTGGGATGCGCTGGAGCGAATGCCATCGAAAAGCCATGACAGCTTTCTGGAGAAAAGATGAAACAAGCCTGATGTTTTGGGGGTTGCAACTGGGTGTCAGGTTCTACTAGGAGCCTAATTCGTGTTTATCTTTCGCCACTACGGGGGGCATTGTGACGAGCACTCCTGCCGACAAGCAGTGGCGGTGAGCCGGAGGCACGGACTGAGACCTGCTGCAAGAAAGGCAGTAAGTGCAGGCAAGCCTCTGATTGTGTGGAAGCTGCTTCTGCCTGGCATGCAAAACATTGCAAAAACCCTTTGCAGGCGAAGAGGTATCGAAGATTGCAGATCTAAGGTGCATGCTCCTGAGCTTTCTTTGGTGGCAATCCTGCACATGCTCCCAACACTCCGGCAGCAAGACATCATCTGCCACTCCCATCAGGCCTTCGTTTTTGCTGCTCTTGTCTTCAGCACCTGCCAGACTCAAGGGCCATGTTTAACAGCGCGGTGCTGCGAAGTCCCGTTCCATGCAGCACCGTGCCTCTACCTACGACCACTGTTCCGCATAGATCACAAAAAACACGATGCAAATGCGGGGAGCCTTTGGATCAGTTCACGCACAGTGTATCAACATGTACTAACATGTGTCAACAGTCAACCGCCAGCAGGACTCGGGCTTGGATAAGCGTTTTCCAGACTCTGTCGCCGAATCATCATGCGATGCCTGAGCTAAACCAGCTCGTGTCGATTCTGCGAAGCATGCCGAGACTTCAGACTAGCACTGACACTTGAGGTAGTGCGGATGGAAGCCGTTGCCAGAGTACTTGCCTGCGAACTCAGGACACATCATACATCGGAGACACTAGCAGCGCTGCATCGATGACCAAATCGTTCGCTCAACGCCCCACCTTCCCCTTGAAGCACTTCCAGCACATGGCACTGAACACAAAGCTCGAACCTGCCAGTTACCAGTCCGCAGCCCCATGAAAGATCCACATAAAAAACCCACGCACGTGCGTCTCCGCATTTGGATCGTGGACTCAAAGCGAGGCTCAACGTGCTTGCTATGTTCTGCTAGAGTTGCCCTAGCAATGCCACCATGACTTGTGCTGTTGAAAGGCTACGCCCATTATAGTAGTGGTAAATAGTGGTAAGTCATCGTCGCGTTGTCAATGGGGCTGACCGCCTTCTTCCACTTCGCTTGCAGCGCCGACAGTAGTAGAAAAAACGTCCTCCACACATGATGCTGCTGACTGGTCTGCTGTGACGAGAACCGCAGATCCAGAAAGGCACCCGTGGCATGCAGATGTATGCAAATGCAGTCCATCCGGCTTGTCGGCATCTGCCAAATTCAAGCCGCAGTTGTCACAGCTCACCTGATCAAAGCGGCCACGTGGTGTATGCTGTCCAAGGATCGGCACACAATCCGCTGGCCCGAGCATGTCACCCCTCGGCCGGCACCTTATGCTGGGCCCCCCTTTCAATGCCCTTCAAAACCCCCTTCAACACCCTGCAAATCTGATCACCCGCAGAGACAGGACACGGCTTCAAATTGTGTCCATTCCAGGAGCACAGAGGCTCCAGCCTTGTGAGTTGGACCTCGGCCTTCCTTCAGCCTTTCCTGGCCCTACGCTTGGGTCACTTGGGTCTCACCGCGTCACCCCTCCTGCCACTTTTGCCGGGCTCATGCTGAACATCGATGTTGTGCAGACGATGGTTGCACGCCCGCATTCCAACTCCAAAGCATGTCACTATGTGGATCTTTCCTCCTGCTCCTGCTCGAAAGGCTGGTATGCTACGTTTTCGCTTTTGCCTGGGTGGTTCAGCGGCGAAACAGCGAGCATCACGGACACAGCAAAGCTGTCCATGCCCAGAAGACGGGGGTCACGGCAGTCCAACCCGAAGCAGCACCCGAAGCGTATGAAGCACCCAGAGCTGGGAAGGAGCGGAGCACTCCATTCACTCCCTCACCCGGGGCCCCATTCTTGTCTGATCTGCTTTCTTCTGCATTAACATGTACTCATGATGCGCACTCATCATGCACATCAAGTGTGTCGGAAAGTCAAGCTCAGGTTCTGTTTCTCTGCTTCTGTGGCCTGCTCCACTTTGGCGATTCTTCGTATCCTCATCGAATCACCTCCAAGGCTGTGCTGAAGGCTGTTGAAGCACAAGACGGGCCACCAACTGGGGAACCTGTTCCCCCCAAGAGCTGCTCCGTTGCTGTGGGCTTGTCTCGCTTCTTCCCCCGGAAGCCAACCTAGCACCGACAACGCGCAGGGCAAAAGCTGAGCTACGTCACTTGCATCACCATATTTGCTTCAACACGACTCTGGCTACGACGCTGCACTTGCTGCGCCATGTGTTCTGACCGATCATGGTGCACGAGTTGCGGCATGAAGCTCACACGCCGTTTTGACGCAGCACCTGACATCCAGAAAGCCTAGGAAGCCTATCGAGGGCCCGGGGATTCACGGGCAACGAAGAACTCCCTAGCGGCGCGTATTGCACCGACACCAAGTACTCAAACTAGTGTAACTAGTGAAGACCGCAGCATTGGACAGTTTGTGTCCACGGTGAGTGACTGATCTACCCAGCTCTTGCCACATGAGCACCCAAACTGTTGAGCTTAATTTCCTTTGCATGCCGATTCCCGGCAGGCACGAAGCGCGTTGGAAAGTACTCGGGGGTATGGTAGTTGACGCTGCCATGAGATTGGAACTGCTGTCGGTAGGTCGTCTGAAACCTCTCCTCCGGTGGAAGGTCGCTGGCTTCTTCTCCAGTGGCAGCTACCGCACAAGGTGGCAACGGCTTCAACACAGCTGGGATGCCATATCCAAAGCTGGGAGGCTCGCTATTTGGCTTCGGCAAGATGCCGAGACTGCGCGTCGATTTGCCTCTTGAGCGACTGGCTGGGCTTCGTTCTGAGCTCTTCGGCACCTCGCGACCCGACGAAGGGGCGACAAGCTCCAGTCGTTCCACACCCTCTGCACGCTCATCAGGAACCGCTTCCTGAATCCGATGATCCTCCCAGTCGTCGGCGACGGGCTCGGGCGTCATCATTCGCAGTGCCCGGAGCCCCTGCAGATCTGTCTCTGGAACTAAAGGTTGCAGCTTCCTTGTCCTTGGACCTTCCAGGAAACGATCTCGCCAAAGCTCGAAATTGCCCATCCCCACTGCCGGTCTTCCTCGAAAGTTGGATCCCCAGTGCCGGTAGTACCGAGGTTGCGCAGGTTTCTCTGCTGGCTGCTGCGGCCGAATTCTGGCCCAGCTCCTGCTGGTTGTGTCCATGCTCTGTGAGATTCTGTCAGGCCGTTTGACCTCGTGAGCTGTCGCGTTCC